GGAAAGACTCAAACCTGGTATAAGTGCTTATGATCCATCGTATCTTTGATAACCGGATCCACTATTTTGGGAAGCTTCGATCTATCGGTTAGTTGAGGCATCGCCTTCAAAGTTTACAAAGCGGTACACGCATTAACCAATGCACTTAATGGGCAATAAATCAACCCAAACTGGACTTACCCAAGTGACAAGAGATTGACATTGAACCGAACTCAATTTCTCAACCGGCCTTCTTCCTAGCAAGAGTTCAAGTAAAACCACCCCAAATGCATATACATCACTCTTATCCGTCAATTTACCTGAAAAACATACAAAACAAAAAATATAAACATGTTTCAATGAAACAAAGCTCGGTAGACCGGTGAATCAAAAAACGATAAATCGCGGTTTTAGCAACCCGGTAAGGCGGTAACCACTATCTTTAATCAGATAATGATTCCATGAGGATTAGTTGAAATAAACATATCAAAATGATTTTGATTTACAACAACAATTTCAGACGTAATAAAAGAGAAATTTAATGTTATGGGTCACATGAAAACACTTGATGAATGATGATATTCACAACTAACTAAGACGTGACAACGAGTCAAAATCACCCAAAAAAGACAAAGGAAATGTGAACATTTTACCATCCAAGAGATATTCAGGAGCAACATAACCAAGTGTTCCTGATAGTTTAATGTTGTTCATGCCGTGCGACCCGACCATTACCGCAAGACCGAAATCCGAAATCTGAATGTTGTATCGTTAAAGACAAAAAGAAATTGGTTTTACTGAAGCAAAGACTAATGATTCATGAATCAACCAAAACAAGAACCAAGATTTAGGACTATGTGAATATTTTTCGGTTTAGCTCGGTACGGTTCAGTCTAGAAGACTAGAACAATCATCATTGATATGGTTTAACTATTTTACCTTGGCGTTGAAGGAAGAACCAAGGAGAATATTTGAGGATTTTAGATCTCTGTGGATAACCGGTGGACGACAACGCTCGTGGAGATACTCTACACCTCTGTTTTCGAAAGAAAAAGACGGTTTACTTAAACCGAGATTAGTTTAATTTATAAAACCGGATTGTGAAATGTGGGCTCTTGATTGTACCTTGCTGTATCAAGAGCAATCTTCATACGCATGTGCCATGTTAAAGCCGATCCCCGAGAAGGTCCTTAACCATTAAATGATGCAAAACATTAAATTTATTAGAACAAAAATTATTTATTTGATGTTGTCACATGATCTTTTTTATTTCATCTTCTCCTTTATACAATTAATTAATATAACTCATGGTCTCTATAACAAGAGTGATCAAGAAAAGGTCTTTTTTACCGTGTAATTGTTCATCCAAAGATCCGTTTTGCATCAGCTCGTAGATGATAAAACTCGAGTTGATTTCACTTCCATATCCCAACAATGAGATGATGTTCGGGTGGTGAATCTTGCTCAATAGATCAACTTCATTCTGAGAATCAAGTTCTTGAATTGAGTCAAGAATCCGAAAAGAAGAAGAAAAAACGATTACTCGGAACTACTAGGACTTGTGTTTTTTTTTGTTACCTGAAACTCTCGTTTTGCTTCTTGACTAACGTTTTCCATCTTTTTAACCGCGGCTAGAGTGTGATTATCTAAACAGGCTTTGTAAACACATCCGAAACCGCCTTCTCCTATAAGATTACTGTCTTTGAAACCGCTTGTCGCTTTCTCTAATGTCTTGTAATTGAAAGACTTCACAAAACTCTTCTTGGATAATGAAATCCCATTCTCAGCTTCTTCTACATAGACATCAAAACAGAGAAGTAAACACAGAGAACCATGTAGAAACTTCAAAACCATTAGGAACTAATGAATTTACCTGAGTTCTTGGTGGTTTTGAGAGATTTCTTAGACCGATAAAACCAGAAGCATAAACAACATAGGATTATTAGTCCTAGTGAAGAGAAGCTGATTATAAGACCAATCAGAAGTTTCTTGTGTGCATCTAACTTGTGTTCTTTGCCTATACCCATTTGGATTCCTGAAGATCAGAAAAGCAAACAAAGGGAAGTTAGAAATTTTTCTCCTTCATTTCATCTTCTCATTGGTGGGATTTGGAGTAGTATTTGAAGATTATATAAAGCAAACCCATTTCTCGAATTTTCCATTCGGATCGAGATATGATATTAATAACTCATAAGAGGATACGTAGAAGATAGCTCAAATATAGCATTTAAGTAAATAGTAGAAAAATCAAATTTTTCATTGCACTAGTATCTTTAAAAAATCGAACTTTTATTCAAACATAATG